AAAAAAAAAAAAGAAAACAATTGACAGTGTTGCCAATGATAAAATTCAAGATTTGGGCAAAAAAATATATATGATTTTGGAAAAAATGGTATTCACCATAATATTCTTGGCAGCTTCCCAATTATCTCCAGAATTTTCTGTTATCAGTGAAGAGATTATCAGTTGTGACTTTTATTTACATTGTTTGCTTAAATACATCAATATTTGTGCAGGTTGCATAAGTGAACCAGCAGTATTTGAAAATGATGAATGCATGACTGCGGTAGCCAGCCTCCAAGATGGCATTCACTCCTGGCATTCACATCCTTATGCACTGCCTTCCTACACTGTACCAGGATTGGTCTGTGTTACCTACAGAAGAGGGCAGATGTGACAGTATATCATTTCTGATATTAATTATAAGACACAAGTTGGTGGCAGTGTTTCTTAATCTGTCTAGAGGTTTACATGGCTGTTCCATGTATACCTGAAACACTGAAAATTAAGCCAAATATTTATTTGTGCAGTTTTCTGTACATATCTCTATAAAAGTCTTAAAGAAAACATGTACCTCCCTAACAAGATGCCCAGAGCAGGATTTATCTTATGGTCACTTGCATATGCCATTAGTTCATAGTAGCCGTAAGAAGGAATAGAGTTTGCAGAGTGACTAAATGGTGCTTGAAGCTGTGCCCCTAACTAACTAGTAGGGTTTCTGCTAAATCTCTCAAATAACCTAACCCTGATCCCCTCTACTCTGTTAAAGGGTAGCTCCCACTAAGTTTTTATACTTCACCCACCACTTCTCTACTAACTCTGACTGGTCTATGATTTTGATTCACCTAATACAATGTCTTATGCTGTCTTTTTAAGATAACATGATCATTTTTCAAAATCCTTTAAATTTATCACAATTTATTGGCATTTACAGCAAAGAGAACAGTTTATTTATTTACAATAAATAAGAGTTCAATAAATACCCTGATTTTTCAAATAAGACTTTCTTGGACAATTTTTGTACAGCCAGGGTAAATACCTGTAGTAATTTATACATTCCCTAAAAATACAACCTTGTATACTATTCCTAACACTCTTTAGCAGTTTTCTTTTGTTGTCTTAAAGATAACAGAGTGTCAATCTAGCACAAGCCCCTACCTAACAATCCCACATGGATACAATATTTAATACTAATTGAATTCTAACAGTAGTAGGATTCTAACTGAATAAAAGATTACCAACTGATAAATGATAGTTGCTTTGGCTTTTGTTGTATCTATCTTAATGTTTTGTTCAAGTGGTTGGTTTTTAGATGACATCAAGACTCAGGTGGTCAAGACAAAAATCATAATTGTTTGAGAACTTAAATGTGGTCAGGCACTATATTTTATATTTCTAGGTACATTGTTTTTTGTTGTTGTTTTGTGGGGTTTTTTTGAGACAGAGTCTCACTCTATCGCCCAGACTAGAGTGCAGTCGCATGATCTCAGCTCACTGCAACCTCCACCTCCCGGGTTCAAGCGGTTCTCATGCCGTGGGCCTCTTGAGTAGGTAGGACTACAAGCGCCCACCACCACACCCAGCTAATTTTTATATTTTCAGTAGAGATGGGGTTTCACCATGTTAGCCAGGCTGGTCTTGAACTCCTGACCTCAGGGGATCCATCCACCTCGGCCTCCTAGAGTGCTGGAATTACAGGTATGAGCCACTGCGCCCAGCCAGGACATTGTTAAAAAGAAAGGTGCACAGATACTTAGCCTTTTTTTTTTCCAGAGTTTTTCCAGAGGTTCAAAACATGTAAGTACATTGTAAAAGATGATAAATGAAGTTTTTCTTTATTATATCATATTTCTAAATCAAGAAATTGAAATTGTATACTTAAATATACTTTGGTCAAAATATACATGAACCACAAATATTAACTTCTACCTACCAACAAATTACAGTTAAGTTGTATGTGGAATTTCATTCTTGTCAGAACTCACAATGGAAATAAAATTTCTATTATGGGTGGGAAGACAGGGGAAGGAATTAAGGGAAAAAAAGATTTGGACAACACACACTTTTCTTTCATTCTAAAGTTCTAAAGGTGCCAGTCAGAACGTAGATGCATGGAGTTCTACATCTAGCCACAGGCTACCAAGCATTAATTCAATGTGAATGGTGTCACTACAACATCAAAAAGAGCAGTGCTGGGCAGAGAAGAGAAGGATTTTGTATAAAATAATCTAAAACTCTGAAAAACTACAAAAGCATCTCAAGAAAAAAAATAAAGTAAAAGCAATGGAGTTTATTTCAGTAAAATTATTTTAAATTAGATGTGATATATTAAGCTCCCATATGCCCCATCCTGGTAGAAAAGTTCTTCTCAGTGAGAAATCAATTATTTTAATGGCAAAATTTTTACATATCAGTAAAATCTGTTATATTTAAAACTATGTATACAGTACATTTCTGGCAAAAAAAAAAAAAAAAAAACCTTATACATCTTTCAGTTGTCAAGACAAAGTAAAAATATGGTTGCATAAAGTCACAAAAAATATAAATTGCTGAAAAGATAATTTAAAAAAGATTAAAAATCATTTGCATTGACTCCCTTACCACTTCAATATTAGTAAGAATTTGCAAACGACAAAATTTTGTGAAAATTCTGTTGCAATCTTGACACACTTAACCAAAGGTTGTCATTTCAAATACCCTAGCTTAAAAAGAATTTACTGCAATTGTCTGTGCATTTATCATACTATTTATACGAGTGCAATATTTAAATATTTTCAAAATAAAACACAGTAACTAAAAGGAATCACAATAACTTACAGGCAAAGTTTACAAAATTAACAATTTTTAGAAAGTCCTATTTAATTGGTTCCTTCTTTTCGTCCCCTCTCCCCACAACAGCTTATATAGAACCATTACTTAATTCTATATACAAATTTGAAACTTTAAAAATACAGTCTTCTGTTAACATCAGGAACATTTGCTGCATTTAGAGACCCTAAATAAAATTAGAATCTCCTAAAGAGAGGGCCACATACAAGTTATAAATACACTTTTGAACTCATATTTAAATGGAACTTCTATTACTTTGTACAGCTTTCAAATTAGAAGTTGAATAGAACAAGCCCTAGACAAAAAGCAGCAAGATTTTTCTTCTGAATTCAGTGCATGATTCTACAAGTGCTTGAGTCAAATCTACTAGAGTCACCATTTAAGCAAGCTATCATGACACATGAGTTCATCATCATCTGGTTACACAGGTCCTTACTGTACTTGCCAAAAATCATCCTAAAATATGATTCCTAAAATAGAAAAAATATAGCTCTGTTGCAATGGGAAAATGATTAATACAAAAAAAAATCAATTTCTTAAAGTTAGCATAAGGCAAATATGAGTGATATAATATTAATTTATTAGCATACACATGATACCAATTGTATCTCAGTTGACTAAATCTTCATTTACATCTATTGTGTGATGCTATTACTAAGAATGAGAAAAAGAAAATATCAGTGTAAATCAGAGACCTTAGGAAAATCAAATATCTTTACACAGTTCCCATAATGCTTATTTTTTAAAAAGTCCAAAACAAATGTGACTGTTTATCAATAGAATTGATTTGCTCCACATTTTATCAAAATAATAATAATGTCATATCCAACTAAAGAGTTATAACCAAATGTCATATGTAAACTTTAATTGGATCCTGGTTTGAAATAATCAGCTACAAAGAACTTTGGAGGATAACTTCAGACATTTAAATATGGCTTGATTAGATGATATTGGAGAATTATTAATTTCACAGTACTATTATGGTTTTTTTTAGGAGAATATCATTATCTTTAGGAGATGCTTGAAGTATTTTCATGGTGATAAGTATGTCTGTAACATCCAAATGGTTCAGGGGGAAAAAAAGCATATATACATACATACATACATGTATGCATATATATGCATAACTAGTTGTATCATTATACGTATATAGGTATAGAGAATCAAATTACAAAACATTAACAACTGCTGATTCTTAACGGTAGACATACATGTGCTTACCCTAGTTTTTCAATTTTTCTGTTTTTAAAAATGTTCATAATAAAATTTGGGGGGCGAGTCATAGCCAAACACTTAAAGATTTTAAGAGATAGTCTTTCTATGCACTGAATCAATTTCAAGGATACATGATCAAATAACTAGCGCTGTTTGCATATACCCAATACTGACATGATGAGCCAGAGGAATTTAAGAAATTGGCAAAAATAATTTATTTATTTACAGTATATGCAACTCAGCTCTTGTAACAAAAAGAACATTCTGTGTACAGAATATAGTGGGAAATTTTTAAGATTAAAATTAGTGCTAAAGTATCTGAATATATAAATTCTGTTTTTGGACTTGTAAAGCTAAAATAAAATTTAAATTAGGTTTGATATCTGATATGACTTACCATACATTACGGAATTTTAAAAGGGGATATGGAGGCTGGGTGTGGTGGCTTGCACCTATAATCCCAGCACTTTGGGAGGCTGAAGTGGGTAGATCACAAGGCCAGGAGTTTGAGACCAGCCTGGCCAACACAGTAAAACACCCTCTCTACCAAAAATACAAAAAATTAGCCAGGTGTGGTGGCACACGCCTGTAGTCCCAGCTACTCAGGAGGCTGAGACGGGAAAATCACTTGAATCCGGAAGGTGGAGGTTGCAATGAGCCGAGACCATGCCATTGCACTCCAGCCTGGGTGACAGAGTGAGACTCCATCTCAAAAAAAAGGAGGAGGGCTATGGAAGAAGTTATCCAGGTTGTTACTAATGCTGGAAGATACCAGCTATTTAAGTAGTTAAAGAGCCCAGAAAACAAAATCACCTATAAAGGTCTCTGAGAATTCTAGGCAAATATTTATTGAATAAATTTATGAAGCAAATATATAACATGTAATAATATATGAAGGCTTTATGTAAATTAATAATTTCAAAGCCCTGTGTACACTAAATATAAAATAGCCAAAAATCAAATGAGCCTGAGAGACCTATATATTATGCTATATACATACTGCACAATGAACAACAAAATGATCTTAATTAATTTCTGCATATTAGGCTTTTAACTATTAATCATGTTCCAATCTCTGTGCAAATTACATTCCAAAATGCCAGTCCTCACTTATAATTATGTATAACTTGATTACAAATGGAAGCACTTGGCTACAACTTATTATGCATGCTTATTGCTACCAAAGAAATAAGCAAAGTTTTAAGTTTATTGTGCAAGAATTTTAATTAGATTTGCACACATCTCAAAAAATTCTATTGTATGACTTCCAGGTCTCGGAGTTAGGTCAACAGGAGAAGAGTCAAGTGAGGTCACAGATGAGGTAAGAGAAACTTCTGAGGATTTTCCTTGAGCCTCAGCATCTGAATCACTCCTTTGGCAAGATCGATAGTTGCTAACTGATCCCGATCTCTGTGGAGTAGCAGTCCCTGATTTGGCTTCTGTAATTTCATCTGGGTAAAAAGAATTTCAATTTATTATAGTCTATGACCTTACCCCCAAAATTTTTATAACAATATTGAATTTGCTTCATTAACTGGGGCCACTGGCCAGCTATCAAGAGTATGTTTACTCTAAGTACATTCTAAAATAGAGGCAATGAGCCTGTATTACACCATTCACCTTTTTTACATACAGTATGTATTCTCAAGATGGCTAATCAAGGTTGGGCACAGTATAGTTACTCATCAGTTGCAATCCGAGGTTAAGAAACTCAACAAACTTAACAATCTAAGGATTAATACATATTATTCTATAGTACAAAAATTAATCCCTCTATATTAAAGTCATAGAATCAATGCACTTAAAATTTGGAAGGTATACTGGAAACCATCTCATCCAACCCCTCACTTTATTGATAAGAAAACAAACCCAGAGAAGTGATTTGCCCAAGGTAACAAATGAACAAAAAGGTTAGTCTAGAACCCAACTCTCCTCTCAGCTCAGTGCTTTTTACTTTCCACTTTCCCTTCATATTTCATTTAGCATTTCATAAAAAAGCAACAATTCCAATGAATAAAAATCAAAGAAAAACTAAGGTTGGGAACACAATACAAAAACAAAAATGGTATTCAATTGGTATACCGAAGTACTAATAAATCTAAGGTTGCAAATTTAATCCAAATACGAGAAAAATAAAACCCATTCCATATTTCAGACTGCATTAGTATATGTTAGCAGATCCATACTATAAGAGACCTAAAGATAACCGGACAAACCAGTTTGGCCAACATATCAAGGCTCAACCTGTGTCTGTCTGCTACTATGTGTGTACTATCTTTGAATTTATAAAGAAGAAAAAAATTCATAGGTGAACCTTATCTAATAATTCTATGCAACCTTCCATAAGCAAAGGTGATACTGTATTTTTTAAATAAATATTTTGTAGAGACACAGTGTCACTCTGTTGCTAAGGCTGGTCTCAAATTCCTGGGGTCAAGCGATCCTCCCACCTCGGCCTCTCAAAGCGCTGGGCTGTTACAGGCATGAGCCACCACACCTACACTCAACACCATATCTCAATGCAATTGAAATGGCCAATGCTAAAAACTTATTTAATAATAAAACTCATAGGAAAGTCAGTATTTATTTCTAAATAAAACATTTTCTCTTTCCAAAATGAACCACACCAAAAAAACAAATGCAGCAGAAACTATCACCTTCTCTCAAATAGCTGGGATCACAGACGCACACCACCAAGCCCACCTAATTTTTTATTTTCAGTAGAGACAGGGTATCAGCATGTTGGCCAGACTGGTCTTGAACTCCTGACCTCAGGTGATCCACCTGCCACAGCCTCCCAAAGTATTGGGATTACAGGAGTGAGCCTACACGCCCAGCCTTGAAATTAATTTAATGCAGTTATACACTCACACAGCATGTACTCGTTTGTGTGTCACTTCTTTTGCTCATCTATTTTGAGTGTTTATCAGTAGCTTTTTTGTTCTCTTTTTTAAAAATTGTTTAGAGTATTCCATTATATGAATAAACCATACTTTAAAAATAAAAAAATAAAAAAAAAACACCTTACGATAGTCTAAATGTTTTATTTAGAAATAAATACTGACTTAAACGTGCACCTAGCTTTAAGGATTTTACAAGATGATAATCTTAAAAGGACAGCATGCTATTAAGATTACAAAAATAATAAGATTCATAAATGTTAATACTGCAAAGGCACAAGAAGTCACGTTTTCTATTCCTTTGCAACTGAATTACTAAGAACAAGTCAAGAAGCTTCAAAAGAATCAAAGAATAAAATATCAAGTTAGTAACATGGTCTAATGTACGTTGTTTATGTGATGTACATACCATCAATACTACGGAAATCCAGTAGGTAAGTTCTACTATCCACTTGGTATAACTGTAGACTCATTTTGGAGTAAGTGCTTGTCACAGGATTCTTCCTTCGTACACGCAAATAATAGGGGTTTACAACCTAGCACATGGTATAACAAAAACAAAGTCAAAAGTAGTTCTTCCATAAAACATTTTATAGACTATGGGTTTGCCAAATATGCTAATAATCAAAATGTTACTTTCTTACCTTCCATTCATAATCCAATTGTTTAATTGCTCTACAGACTTCTGCCATAATATCATTTGGTCGACTTTGACTTCTAATTCCTAAATGCCATTTTGCTTTCCTTACACCTTGGTGTTTGGATTTCTGTGGATTTAATTCATCAAGGGTATGGCGTGCCCTTGGTGTTTCAGCAACCAAGAATGGTACTCTTTCAGGATGGGGACGAGTCAGGTGGTGATCATCAAGAAAAGAATCAGGTGGGCTTGTCGCCAAATAGAAATCTTTGGCTTCATTCATTATTCTCCTATTATCTATTATGAGATGGTAAGCAACTGCCAAAGGGTCCTGGTGATTTCTGTTATAAAGACAGCTGAGAACCTCCTCTTCTGAGCACTCAAACTTTTCACATACTTCTTTTAAGGCTTCATCATCAATCATGGTTGAACTATATGATGGATCCTCAGGAAAGAGATATTTTGGAAGGTCCTGTTTAAACCATTCATGTTCCCTGAGAGAAAATGGCAGGATCAGGAGAAGGATTTTGAATAGAGCAGAGACTGAGAGTAATAGTTTGGGGAATTTAGAATATGAATTCATATATATTTATACCCATACTATATTATTATCACTTTTTCCACTGAAATTTTCCTCTTCTGCTCATACTTCATCGTGTATGTTGAGGGAAATGCTCCAGTTTTCCTCCAGTTTTAAGAGGGAGAATGTGCCAGGCACGGTGGCTCACGCCTGTAATCCCAGCACTTTGGGAGGACGAGGCGGGCGGATCATGAGGTCAGGAGTTCAAGAGCAGCCTGGTCAACATAGTGAAACCCTGTCTCCACTAAAAATACAAAAATTAGCCAGGTATGGTGGTACCTGTCTGTAATCTCAGCTACTGGGGAGGCTAGGGCAGGAGAATCACTTGAACCCGGCAGGCAGAGGTTGCAGCAAGCCAAGGTTGCGCCACTGCACTCCATCCTGGGCAATAAAGCGAGACTCCGACTCAAAACAAAAAAAAACAAAAAAAAAAGGAGAATGCACTGATGTACCAATGGGGGGAAAAAGTTATGGAACAAATGACAATGACAAAAAACAGCTTATTTCCAACTCAGATAACATATTAAGTAGCTTCATTATAATACTCTTTTGATATAATGTTAAGTGCAAATAATATAACAACAAGAAAAATAGTAGACAACTACTGAGTATTTACTGTGTGCTAAGTTTTATGCTAAACGCTTCATATACGTTATCTCCCCTTATTCTCAAAACAGTTATATGAAGATAATAGTATCTCCTTGTTTTAAATGAAGGAACTGAGGTTTTAAAAAAAAAAAAAAA